CTTGGATCTATCCACTTCACTCTATCTCCACATTTACATAAGTCCAAGTTACCATTCTCAGCTGACATGTGCCAGTAACCTTTAACTGGTCCCCTTGCTTCTACTTTTCTGTGTCAGCAGCATTGCCACCACTGCCACCAAGCACCTGTCTCCCCTAGACAGTTCTAGACTAAAATTTCTACTTTCTTAGTTCCTTTTCCTAACCCTTCTTAATCCTTTCTTAAGATCTGCTAATGGCAGGTATATTACTAGTTCCTTAGGGAAGCTCATTAATCTCATCCATTGCATGTGGATTTTACCAGTTTAACTCATTGGTAACTTTTATTTCCAAGGTCTGCAGGAAGCCTCATGGTTTCTTTTTGTTTTTTGTTTGTTTGTTTTTGTTGTGTCTTTCTTTCTTTTGTTGTAAATAACCAAGTTTGAGTAATTGAATAGTTTTTTTTTGAGTAATTGAATAGTTGATGACCAAATGGAGAAATCTGAAAATCAGAATTTTATAACTGTTCTGACCTTTAGAACACTAAAGCCCTGCGGCATACTGATTTTTCTTGTTAGTACACTGTGTAAAATTCCAGACCTGAAGTAACCCAGTATCAGTGGTAGGATGTTCCCTGGGCTACAGTCTCCTTTTTTCTAGATGTAACTACAGAAGATACACATCTTGTGATTTAATTTTTCAATTCCAAACAAGTTTTCACAGCAGAATTTTATCGACAACTTGTTGAAGTTGTATTCAGTGGAGAGAGTGCCTAAAAGTGCTGTGCTGTTTGGGAAAGTTAGGCAGAGGCCCAGAGAAGCTGTGCTAAGCAGGTCATCAGCAAAGGCAAAGCCAGCATTTTATCCTTCATTCAGTAGAATGCCTAAAAAAGTTTGTTCCTCACCACTGTGGATGCTGGTCTCTGTGAGGAACTTATGTAGAAATGTCACAACAAGTTGTTTAAATACTGTAATGACAACTTGCTTTTTTATTTTTAAAATGTCACTTTCTTAAAATCGTCATCAACTCACCTTGTTAACTTTTCTATAAACAGCGCTAGTCTGGAATATACATATATATATATATATATATATATAAAATACCTTTTAAATGTGTCTCCTACCCTTTCAAATCTCTAGGCCTCCAGCCAACAACCTTCAAGACAGTTTCAAGTGCTATTGCTCAAGAGAAAATATATATACCACTCCAAGTGCAGCAATTGTGTCATCATTTTAGTGACTTTTGCTTTGGTTCTGGTGTTCTGTTTTCTAATTTAAAACTGAAGAAGTGTCTCCTTCAAGTAGTCCTCAGCTCTTAAGCCATTCCTGAGGCTTTCTCCATCTTCAGCTTTACTCATTGGAAAGACATGCTGAGAGACTGTGAGGAAACCCCACAAGGCAAGGAGGGGAAGCTGAGTTTTAAATTCTAGTCACCTCTCTGAGGCCTGCTCAGGAGCTGAGTGCAGGAACAGCCTGGGGCACCAGACAAGCAAGCCAAACCTTGTAGGAGGTGTCTTAAATCAAAGAACATGACAGACTCTGTAAGTCCCCTGCAAAATCCATCCCGTTGCCTCCCCTCTTCCCTTTTGGTCATTATTGGCATTCCAGAGTTTGACCCATGTTCATCATCAAAAAGTATTTTGGAGGCTCCTACACTGTACAAAACATTTTACCAGGTTCTGTTTAAGAAATGAGTCCTTGGCCTAAGTGGGCTTCCAGTGCATTTGGAGAAGGGATGGTTACTGGTGAAACTATATGTTGTGTCCCATGTGTGGAGCATGCAGAAAGTGCCACACTGAGATATCTTCAAGGGGTGGGGTGCTGGGGAAAGTCTCCTGGCGGATGTAAGAGGATCTGGTAGAGTGTCTGGGGAAGGAGGAGAGCTGTAGGGAATGAAATCCCTACACTGTCTTCAGAGACTTCAGAGGAGGAAGAGGCCTTTATAAATAGACTTTGGCCTTTCCAGAGGGCAGCTCTCTCCACTTAGAGTAAAACTTCACTGTTAGGTAAAGAGGCTTGAAGGAAGAATTTGGGCAGAAATCCTGCTCCTAATATAAGAAGCAGAGCTGGTTAAGAGAAAGAGTCTCACAGCTTCTTTACACTGATGCATCAGGTGCATGGGCTGATGCACCCATTCATTCATTCACTTCTGCTGGTACCAGGCATTTTGCTGGATTCTGGGGACAGAGGGCCAACATGGATGCTACATCAGTGTAGCACCTGTTCCCCATGTGTAGACTCTGCCCCACCTGCAGCCTCAACAATCCCAATGCTAATAGTACAGACTCTCAGACCTCAGCTCAGACTGGACTTAACTGTATCAAAATCTAGGGCTGGTCCTGAGAAAGTGCCCCACATTGCGCATTCCCATTCCTCTGCAGCTAAAGTTTGAGAACGCTGGCCTCAAGGCTATTGCCACTGCCTATTTTCAGAGCAGATATGTCTGCTTGGATGTGAGGCAGACTAAAACAGTGCCCTGCAGATGGACGCAGCAGCCTAACTTCGCCGCCCCTCCTTACCCTTCCTTACCCGCCTCCCCACCCCGTAGGCTTGCCCTAAGGAGAGAGGAGGGCGGCTCCGCCCCTCCACGGTAGCCCCGCCCCGGCTGTCAGGGACTAAGAAGTCCCGCCCCCGGCCGGCGCACGCTGCCTAGTCCAAGCCCGGCCTCCCGCCCCTCACCCCTAACCCTCCGTGGGGCCGCCAAGCAAACCACCTCGCGACCTGCGGACTGCAGCCTCCACCCGAGAGAGCGCGCGACATGGCGGCGGCCAAGGCCGAGAACCTCTCCGTGGTGGTGCACGGACCCGGAGACCTGCGCCTGGTAAAACTGGAATGGGAGTGGGAAGTCTAGCCCGATCCTGCCCTACTTACTTCCAAGCCCAGCAGCGGTCCCAAGCTCGCCAGTTCCAGCGTATTTTGGGCCCCACACTGTGCGCCCTGGCTGCCCAGATCCGAGCCGGTTACCATGTTGGGGGGAGGGGGGCCGGTTGATGGTTTGTGCTAAGATGCTAAGAGCAGAGTCCATGTCGCGTGCCTCCTGGAACCTAGCCCAGTGGCCGGCACGTGGCCAGAGCCCAGGGAGGCCGCAGAATGATTGAAGCCTTCTTTCTTTGCCAGCTGCAGATTCATAGTCCAGCGTCTTGTCATTGCACTTTGCAGAAGAGATACCGGGGAGACTCTCTGACTTAGGACATGCCTTGAACTTCTCTGGGCAGACATTGCAGGGCAGGAAGAGAGGTGAGGGGGTGATGGACAGAAGGACATTTAAAAGCTGTGGAACCCGTATTTAATCTCTCTTGCTTGGGGCTGATAAAACCTTCTTTGCAAGGTTATTATGGTTAGGAAAGTACCTGGTACTTACTAGGGACTCAGAAAATGCCAGTTCCTTCCTCCTTTCCTGTCAGCCCAGGCCTCCATCTCTAGGACTCTTGGTGTTCCCCATGCCTGTCTGTACCAGATATCTGGATCTTGATAGTGTCTATGTCTCTAAAGCTCTTTTCCTCCTTATCTCCCTTAGTCCATATCTGGTTCACTTTCTAGCCATTTTTCTTTCTGATCCTGCTTCCCTGTCCCTTTAAGAGCATTTTGTATGTGCCTCCTCCACCCCAGACCCTGCCTCTGCTCCCTGGCTCATGGGGCCAACATTCTGGGAGATGCAGAGTCAGCCCTGTGGTTGTGCCAGGGCTCCCTTGACAAAGTCTGTCTCAGATGGGCCTGGGCAGTGGGTATGTCAGATGAGTGCCAGCCATCTCTGCTCTTCTCTAACACTTCCTTCCCCCTCAGAGAGAACATGTACCAGGATCTAGATTGGAGAGATTCAGAAAATTATCCAGATTAGCAGTTTTTGACTATTTGAGAATCCGTGGTCTCTCTCCCCACAAAATGCAAACAGATTGAGTTTGGCAGCAATTTCAGAGAGTTTATGGACTTCCTTTCAGCCCCTTCATAGACCCTCTAGATGTGTGTGGACCCCAGACTAAGAACTCCTGCCTGGAGCCAACTCACCATTTCCTTAGCTGAGGAAAGTGCCATGTCCAAGGTGACAGGCTTCCTTAGTTAACAGCCCAGAAAAGAAGCCAGAGGTTTAGACTTCCATTCCAGTGCTTTCTGTTCCCCTTAGAGCCTCCACCCAAGGTCCTGAATTAAACTGACACTATTAATGTTTGTTGCCACAAAGACCAGATGGTATTATGAAGGAAAGGAAGTGGTACAGCTCTACACAACTTGCAGAGTGATTTCAAACTCACTCCTTCATTCCACAAAGATTTACTAGATGAAGGTGCCTGCCATGTGCCGAGCAGTGGGCTGGGGGCCCAGAGAGAAGGAGGACGCCCCCCCCATCCCCAAGCTACTCTAGAGAGTCAGACAGATGAAGTAAACAATTAAGACTGTGAAGGCTTTGATAGAGGCCACAGAGAGTAAAGGCCTCACAGGGAGCCTTTGTCCAGGGAAGGGGCCCTAGAGGGGATGGATGCTACATGAGCTGGTTCTTGGAGGGTAACTAGGGATCATTCAGGCAAATGGAAGAGCAAGTGCAAAGATGAGTGAAGTACAAGATTGCAGGTCCTGTTTACTGGCTCTGTAAATAGTGTGATGTATTGAATGCACTGGTGGTAAAGCTGGAGAGGTGGACAGGGCCTGCCTCTCCATGTGTTCAGGGCCTTCCTTAAGGTCATGTACCTAATAATGACCAGAACTATAATTACAACCCTAGAATCTGTTTTGCCTTAATTCCTGAACTCATTACCCAAGGTAAATTCAGGAGGAACCCAGGTCTGTTTTAGAGTGGGAAATGGTGGAGTTCATTTACTAGACAAAGGAGAGTAGATCAAAATGATCAGGTTTGAATTTAAGATGTCTCTGGGACAGGACATTACAGTGTCTCTGAGAAATTACCTTGGTCTTAGGCATCTGGAGTGCGGGGATGCTGTCTGGGCTGGAGATGTAGATTCAGGAGCTATTTGCTGCTCTACTGAGCAGTACCACACCCCCTCCCCAGGGGGTATTTAGAAATGTATTTGGAGAGGGGGAGGTTAGTTGTCAAAATGACTGAGGGACAGACTGCATTCAGTTTACGGCATCATCCTGCTCAATGGAGAATTGTCCTGCCCAGAGTAGTGCCCTAAGAGGAAATTGTGGATGGATAAGCTTGCGTTGCCTGAGTGGGACATGTGGAGTGAGAAGCAAAGAAGTGGAGGACATTATCCTAGAGAGAGCCCCAACACAGAAAGGGAAGGGGCAGAAAGCTGTCGGCCGAGGAGAGTGACCAGGAAAGCTGCTGCCTCAGAGACATCTGCAACCCAACGCAGACCCTCCTGGACCCTCGCCACTCCTTCCTGAGTGCTTTTGTCCCCCAGCACCTCCATAGGGAACCCCCTCAGTAAAGTATCTCTGCCCTTGCACCCCCTCCCTTAAAGCAAATAGGCAAAGTGGTTTGGGGTTGGGGTCAGTGGTGCCAGTAGTAAACCAGAGAGCAACAGGGAAGAACGGTCCTGGGGCAGCTTTGAAGAGGAGCAACCAGCTCTCTTCCCTTTGGGAGAACCAAAATTAAATCGATGTATCCTGGGTGCAGTAGGCTGTGGTCATTTGGGCCAACCAGAGACAGGATCCCCTGATAAAAATGGTTGGTGCCTCAGAAACTCACGTGAAAGGAGTTGTTTGGGAAAAGGGCCCATTTTTGAAATCTGAAGCAGGAATCTGAAGGGTTCTGAAACAGGAAGTGAGGGCTCAGCTCTTCCCAGTGTTGCTGTCCTGCTTCAGGTAAGGCCAGGGACTAGGCAGCATCCAGGGCAATGGTTCTGCGGGAAAATGTGACTTGGGCCACTTGAAACTTGCCCCCACTTTCCAGGAAGGAAACGTAACACCCAGCCTTCCTCCAGCCTACCTGTGTAAAGCCAGGATTCCCTTTTCTTTCTCTAAGCGGTGGCTATCAGGAAGGAAAAACGTTTTCCTCATCACAGCAACAGCAAGGGAGGAGCCTTAGCAGCTCCAGTGCTCTGGCCTGCACAGTGGTCTGGACTCTGGGACATTTATGCTGGGTGGTAAATCAGAGAGAGAGAGTGTATGTACACATATACATACTGAGAACTGGTGGTTTCCTTGTAAGGAGAGAAAAAGAGGGAGAGACTTAAAGCTGTTCACTCCTATACCCTCCTACCCCCATTTTAAATAGATAACATGTGGACTTTAAAGGATCAAGGGGAAAGATGACCAAGCAAGAGACAAACAACTTATCAGCAAACAGTGTCAACTTGCTGAGGTCCTCTTCAAATGGAAACAGTAATGAGGTCACAAGCCAGGTTGGGGCCAGAGTGGGGTTTAGCCTCAGCTCTGCTGCTTCTGATTGTGTGACTTGCCAAATTACTTTCTGCTTCAATTTCCAGTCTGTATAATGGGGGTGGTAGTAGTACTCACCTCTGTGTTGTGTGAAGATTGGATCGTGTTGGGGAGGAAGAAATTTCCTCAATCCTTCTAGGTTCTTCTGGCTGGTCTAAGAATTAAATTAACATAAGACAGATTAACAGAACAAAATCAAACAAAATTTTAATAACATG